TTATTTTTTCTAGCCTAAGCAGAGAAACCTTTTGGCCTCTGAAGTCGGCGCCGCTGAAGCTTTTTATTCAGATCCATTTGTTTTCCCATCGCGTCCGTCTGCTCCGGCAGGATTTTGACAGTAAAACCACACGCTTGAATGAGACGACGCCTTCTCATCAGCGCCGTCCCTCAGAGGTGCTATTGATGGTCTGCAGTTAGTGTGATGAGAGCGCGAGGAACGCCACATTTCACTGGGGCTTTTTTTTGTTGTTTTTTTCCTGCTGCCTATTAAAGTTGCAAACAATATGTCTGGGGGAGCCTTTTTTTTTTTTTTTTTTTTTTTTTCTCTGGTTGGCATGCTTTAGATTGTGTTTCCACTCTGTTATTTGTTGTAGATGAATGTGAGGAAAATGGACTCATCATGCTGACATGTTGATAATGGCTGCCCCTGAGCGCAGCGTGGTGATGTAGTGTTTAGCACGTGAGACGCCTTTCAGGATGGAGTGCAGTCTGGTAATCATAAAACACCGGCTGAGCCGAGACAAACGAACTGTCAGGAGCGCGCTCAGACCCAGAAAGGCCCCAGGTCGTTTTCCAGCTCCGTTCCAGATCTTTCAGCGTAACTTAACAGCCTAATTATTTCTATCAAACCCCCTGCTCGAGTTATAACACACCACATGGTGCACGGCGGATCATCTTCTTCGCTGTCTGAATGGTTTTTTTTTGTTAAGTGCTAATGAAATCAAGAACACCCAGTCCTTTTTGTTTACTCCTGGCGTAGAGCTGTGATATTTTTATTCTCTGTCTTACAGGAAGAAATTTCAGAGTTTCCAGGACAGAAGGCTGAGGGTTAACGAAGACGATGCATCGACGCTAAAGAAGGCCAGGGTGGATGGGAAGTTTCATGAAGCTTTGCTGGACAGGTATGAAAACAGAAGTAACACACAGGTATTCCCAAACAGTCTGGGAGTTTATTTAATCATTTTCTACATTTGAATAAGTATGAGGGGGGGAAGTTTGATTTTTCAGGGGGGGGTTTTCTACTCTTGGCAAATGCTGTTTGGCATTTGCCAAGATGCTATTTGATTTTTTTACTTTGATATTTTTTAACAAATCAAACAAAGGTACTAAAGTTCTCAAGGGGGCAGCATAATGTATTTTTCAGGCATAAAGTGTCATTTTATAACACAATCAAGTAATTATCTTACCTTTAGTTGCTATAAAAATGCTGTGTGTGTGTGTATTTTTTTTTTTTTTGTCAAATATAACTGAAAAGAAATTTGACTTTGTAATTTTAAGTAAAAAATGGCAAAAACCATTCAACTTCCACTTCCCAAGAAATTCTCTACGTCTACATTAAAAATATACAAATAATGAACATATTCCAAAATAGAAATGTTACTTTTTCTTGCATAGTTGAATATAAGTAGTATTTCTACATACATGTGTACGTAGTAAAAATGTGAAACTAAAGTGACATATTTAGACTGGTGAGATTAAATGTTGTTTTGTTTGTTTGTTTGCTTGCAGGAGAAGCAAAATGAAAGCAGACAGATACTGCAAATGAAGACCGGGAGGATTTCAACCGTGTTCTTGTTAAAGTCCTGCCTGTTGTCTAATTGTGGTTGTGTGATGTGGCTGGGTTTTTTTTTTTTTTTTGTTGTTGTTGTTTTTACATTTTAAAAATAAACCTTTTACTGGTTAAAATGACTTTGTTGCTTGGACTACCACATGCCCTCATTTTGTGATGAGCTATGAATTTTAGGTGACCCATTTGGCCTTTTACTGTTAATAATTAACCAGTGTGTGTCCACGTCGCCCTGCAGTAACTAGAATATCATTACAGAGATCCCAGTGTGTTCACAGTCTGAGATTTATCACAAAATCAATCAGTTTGGCCATAAACTATGTGCTGCATTGATTATTTTTATGGTGAACTATGTCATGTAAAGCAGCACAGAAAGGGGGAAACAGCAGCACAAAGAAGTTTATCTTAAAGCTGGGATTTATTATTTGTAATACACAAAGTCATTGGTGCAACAAATTAACTGTAGCACATGGATGCTGTACATAATATAATAAGAGGCATAATCCTAATTAGAATTAGAAAGCAGCTCAATGTGTTTTACTGTAGGAAATCCCAACGTTTGAAGAGCTGACTGGCTGCAGACGCTCAGGAAGCCTGGAGCAAACTGAATTTAATGTTTCATATACTGAGCTTGTAAATACTGTGTTTATCTGGACTAGTTTACCCAAAGGCTTTGGATTATTTCTACATGCATAAAGAAGTCAGAGCGGTTTTAGTTCCAAACTGTTTATTGCTTCATATGAAGTAGGAGAGTTAGGAAAACCCTGAGTAAATCAGGACTGTGTGTGGAAATAACAGTCTAATGAGACTTATAAACGTATTCACACCTCTGCAATCTATTAGGTATTTTCATGTCTTGACATGGAATTTCAGTCGGAACTTTGACTAGACCATTGTAACACATTGACAGTTACCTTCTCTTAGTAACTATAACAGCAGGACTTCTGAAAGCCTTTGGTTGCACAGGGTTTTTATTTGATGGTATTAGATTATAAAAGGGCCCACTTTAGGTTTTTATAAACATTTTGAACATGTCTTATTGTTCCTCAACACCTAGTGTTGGTCATATAAAAGTAAAATAGAAGTTTGTGGTTGTAAGGTTGACGAACTCTAGAATATTTTGAGAGACATAAATACAAGCTGCTGTTCCCATGGCTCCTTGATCCTCTTTTCTATTTCTATAACTGCCTTTCATCATGGGAGTAATGATGTCAGTAATAAAGAAAATTGGTCAGGGTAAAAGAAAAGAGAATATTTAAGTAATTTCTGATTTAATTTCTGTGTTTTTTTTTATAGAATGATCTTTTTAAAGACAGAGAAAAACCTCCTGAATGTGTCGGCCTTTTAAAAACGTCATGGCCTGAAAGTCTGAAACAGCCTTGGTTATAGGTCATGTTAACATTTTCTTGATCTTGACATAAATTTTTTATTAGATAAACTTGTTCAGTGTTGTGTTGTTTATCTCCACCCTCCCTCACATTTCTGGTAATGTTTTCACCCAGATCTGGAAACAACTCCCAACATTACAGACTTTAAGCTCCTGCTGTTCCCTGAACCTCTCTTCCACAGTCTGAGCTCTGTGAAATCTGACACATTGTTCTTTTCTAATATACCGGCATCATCAGGGAAGATTAAAGTCCTTGGATGGGAAAGCCTGGTCGTTCATTACATTCTGATGTCCTCTGGGTCTCATTCTTTGGTAGCATAATGCTACTTTATCTTCTGCTCTCACTGTGAAGCTTTTGTCACTCGGCACCAGAATGAGTCCACAACTTGACACGTCACATAACTTTTCATATTCCTTCTGAATCCATTATTTGTCTTCTTTGCAAATTGCACTCATTTCAAAGTTATTTATCCTTTTAATAAGGCCAAAGCCTTATTAACATGACCATGAGATTTTTCTATGGATTGTTTTGAATTAGATAAATGTTTAGGTGATCTTGGATCATTTCTTCCACAGAGATTGGTTATTATTACAGATCGGTCAGGGATTAGAAATGCATTAGTCTGATTTTCATCCCGTTTTTATTTAATCAGTCTCAGCTGTCAGACTCAGCTCCTCACCAGGCACATCCATTGTGAAGTGTGTGTGTCTGTGAAGAGCAAGTAGCAAGTTCCTTACAGAAGTTAAAAACAGGAATGCTTCAGATTGAGCTGAAGAAAATTCTCAGCCATTGATGACTTAATAGCTAAAGAACACTTCAATAGTGTATCAGCTGGGTTTGGGTCATCGGGAGACTGAATTATGTCTTTTCAACAAAGTAAAAAAAAAAAAAAAAAAAAAACGAAAAAAAGGGGGGCCTTGCCCATTTCCCCCCCCCCTTTTTTTCGGG